GTATAATACTCTCGTGAAGATATGGAAAACAATACACAGGAATGTTTATACTGAAGTTTTTAAATAGAAAATAGCAGTCCACAGTTTAGTCCTTTAAAATAGCGAATGTCGATGTGTGAGCTAAAAAAGGAACGAAAGTCCAGGTCTGGGCTAACATAACAGCGAAAGTCCAAAAAGCCTGTGGACTTTCGCTGTTATGTCAGCCCAGACCTGCACTTTCGCTGTTTTGCTTTGCTAAACCATGGACATTCGCTGTTTTACACTGCTCTCATGTGGCCTTTCATTGTTTTTGCCCTAAACTAGTGCTATTTTAGTGTCTCTTAATAACGTTTACAAAAATAGTTTGATACTATTTGTTTTCTGATAATTTTTACTTCCTTTGCGTGCCAAGCAGATTTGATTACCACTACAGATCTTCGATCTGGAATGTTTTTAGTGTCTCCTGTAAAATAAGGGTTGGTGGACTTCCGCGCCTATGTTGGCTCATCAGTGATTTGTTATGGCCCTACTTCCCTCTCTTCCCATCCCCTTAGGCCTACCTGCCCGACCACCCCCTCCCAAAGCCCAATCCGTTATAGCCAGAAAACCTAATGGGTTCAACAGAGGTACGCCTTTAAGGTAGTGCGATAAAATTTACGAACCAGATAAAAAAAAAAAAAACTACGAGTATACATTTACCCTGGTCTACCAAACACCACCGTGAGTGAAACCCTCTCTCCTGCTTCATTACAAATCAAACACAGTTTTAACCACGTGACTGATATGGAGTGCACTGGTTGATCTGGGTTGATGACATGAGGCATCAACACATCCAAAAAAAAATTACAATATGGCAATAAAAAGATAATGAGAAATCAGCCCCGCTAACTGACTCGAAAAGTAACAATGAAGGCAAGGTGAGTTATCACAGTGAGGGTGCAGCGGTCACAGGACATCGCATGTGCAAGCTCGATTTCAGAGAAAGAGCTGCAGCGACGCACAGAGCGAGCGAACTCTTTACAGCGGTGCAAACACTGCCCACAAACTGGAGCGACTCGGCTCACTGAAATCACTCATCAGACCCCCGCTTTTTGAAGCTAATAAAACTACGAAAAGGCACTCCGATATTCATTAAGGGACATGTTAATCAAAAGAGTGGCTAAAAAAAGGAAATAACTCTAGCATTGGCTGCATTAAATCCCATCAGAGGACAAAAAGAGTAATTGATAAAGGGTTTAATAGTTACAAAGCAGAAAAGAGGGTTTGCACTCAAGGATTAAATGGCCTACCTCGCCCACCTTCTCCCAACCCAGCTCCTACACCCAACCTACCCCTATCTCAGGCACTGTCCTTGTTACATCGACCCCTTTGAACTCAGCGCTCTAAACACTAAACAACACAGGGGCTAGGGGGTGGCAGTCCCCCTGCACATGAATCAAACAATAATCAAGGGACAAATGGATCCCCCCCCCCCTTCCCTTCTAAATTCTACATTCTACATTACATCAGTTAAATTGTTTGAGTAAAGAGTAGAAACGAGAAGAACAGTGTTCTAAAAACGTAAGGCCTTGTTCTTGAATCAAGTACTCGAGTAAGAAAATTGATCAATTTTTTGGGTATAGTTCTGCGAGGACTTATCTTTTTTTCCCTAGATGGTGGTGGATGACAATCAGTGGGAGAAGAACGTAGGAGAGAGGAGGCAAAGAAGACCGAGAAAGGCAGACGGGTGTGGAGGCAAACCGGCAGAGCGACGGTAGATGGTGGTGGTGGGGGGAGAGGCAAGACGGAAAAGAGCAGCCGAGAGCAATCCTGAGGGGAAGATGCAGGAGGACAAAAAGGGAGAGAAGGGGTAGAAGAAGAAAGTTGACAGGGAGGAGCGGAGGGTAGAGAGGAGAGAAAGTAGGGAGGGGCGAAGGGGTGGAGGAGCGGGGAGAAACTGGGAGGCAAAGAAGAGCAGAGGCAGGGTGCCCGGAAAGGGGGAAAGGAGAGGAGAGGCAATGCAGGAGAGAAGGAACATGGGCTGAGATGGGAGAGAAAGGGCAAGGCAAGGGGAGCCGAGGCAATAAGGCGGAGAAGTCGAGCGGGG